CACGGCCGTTCCTACCGCGACATCTGTCCATCATCAGATTTCACCTATATCTACAGCAGTCACTGTGCTGAGCAGCACAGTCTCACAATTTAATTATATTTCTCTATGGATAGGATCAAAGTTAGTGAGTCATTGCAGCAATAGAAAGCTTTTCCAAATGAAAGAATTATTAAATACCAGAATATTTTGTTTTAAGGAGGTATCTATTAAACCTCCCTAAGGGTTCTGAGATACAAAAAGCTCAGCCAATTAAAAATTGGAATTCCACCATTCTCCATCCCATTCTTTGTTTGGAAATATTTCTCTTGTATCATGAGTAGCAAAACCAGATATATGTGCAAGTTGAAATTACTAATGTTGAAAATTCAGCATCAGTATATCTGTTTTCATTAACTAATATGTAGGATTATGAACTGTGGTTCCTGAAATCCTGACACACGGTTACTCTTCCTGTTTAATTCTGGAGGGTCTGAGGACATAGGTCAGAGCATCAGTGTGTCATAGCTGCATAGCTCCTGAAAACATCAAACAATGTCAACAGACTATCTAGAGTGGGCTAGGCAGAGTCTACACAGGAAAAGAGGAGAGGTTGTGTGTCTTCTAGGATTCTCTTTCAACTCATGTTTTTATAGTTGTATGAATATCTCTTAATCAAATTAAGAAACACTTCACTAAATGGGAGATGTGCAAGATCTGACTCTTCTTACTCTATGTAGATTTTACTTACCACAGTGTAAGACTGCAAAGAGACTGACAGAAATATTTTCATCATATTTACAGACAGCCTCTGTGTAATCATCCTGTGGAGACAGGAAAACTAAGGATGTTCTAAAAGAAATAAATCATTTAGATACTGTTATTGAAGCTTTCACATGTGGTGCAACATTGATTTTCCTGTTCAGTTGTCATTTATCTTTATACATTTACTGCTTCAGTGATTCTGTGAGGCCTTGAAAACAGCATACGGGCCTACATACCAGGTACAAAGCCCCCTACTCAGCGCAGATGGTCAAATGCTTCTAACAGATAAAACCTCCATTCTGAATCGATGGTCTGAACACTTTCAGACTCTTTTCAGTACTAGTCATGTAGTTCAAGACACAGTAATTCAGAACATTACACAACAACCAGTGAAGAATTAATTGGATATTGTCCCTACTATGGGAGAAAATCTTAAGGCCATACAGCAGGTGAAAACAGGCAAGGCAGCTGAGGTTGATGGAATTCCACCTGAAGTCTGGAAGCATGGGGTCCAAGCACTCCATGCTAAATTTCACAAGTTTGTGGTGTGGTTTGTAGTTGGGAATGAGGTGAACTACCATCAGACCTTCGTGATGTAGTTATCATCACCTTGTATAAGAAGAAAGGAGATAAATCAGACTGTTCAAATTACCATGGTATTACTTTGTTCTCCATTGCTGGCAAAATCCTGGCAAGAATACTCTTAAACAGACTAATACCCGCTATAGCAGAAGAACTTCTACCTGAAAGCCGATGTGGTTTTAGAGCCAACAGGATCACAGACATGGTATTTGTTCTCAGACAACTGCAAGAGAAGTGTAGGGAACAGAACAAAGGTCTCTATGTAACCTTTGTCGACCTCACCAAGGCTTTCGATACTGTGAGCAGAAAAGGTCTATGGCAGATTTTGGAACGTTTAGGATGTCCCCCCAAGTTCCTTAAAATGATCATCTCACTCCACGAGGATCAGCGCGGCCAAGTCAGATATGGTGATGCACTTTCTGAGCCCTTTCTAATAACCAATGGTGTGAAACAAGGCTGCATTCTTGCACCAACCCTATTCACAACCTTTTTCAGCATGATGCTCCAAAGGGCCACAGCAGACCTCGATGATGAAGATGGTATCTACATTCGATACCATACTGATGGAAGCCTATTCAACCTAAGGCAACTGAAGGCCCACACTAAGACCTTAAATCATCTTGTCCGGGAGCTCCTTTACAGTGACAACGCCACCCTTGCCACCCACACAGAAGCAGCCCTGCAGCATTTAACATCCTGTTTTGCAGAGGCTGTTGGGCTTTTTGGGCTGGAAGTCAGCTTAAAGAAGACAGAAGTTCTCTATCAACCTGCACCTCAGGAAGTCTTTCATCATCCCCATATCACCATTGGCCAATCAGAACTCAAATCAGTCCAGCAGTTTAACTACCTAGGTAGCCTCATCTCCTCGGATGGTAAGATTGACAGAGAGATAGACAACAGGTTAGCAAAGGCATATAGAGCTTTTGGAAAACTCCATAAAAGAGTCTGGCGAAATAAACACTTGAAGAAAAGTACAAAGATCAGTGTTTACAGAGCCATAGTGCTGTCTACTCTTTTATATGGATCCGAATCATGGGTCATCTACTGCCACCACCTGCGACTCTTAGAACGCTTCCATCAACACTGCCTCCGTACAATCCTAAACATCCACTGGTCAGATTATGTGACCAATACATCTGTTCTAGAACAAGCAGCAGTCACAAGTATTGAGGCCATGTTGCTGAGAACACTGCATTGGGCAGGACACGTCTCCAGGATGAAGGACCACCGCCTCCCTAAGATCTTGCTTTATGGTGAACTTGCCACTGGCTGCTGCAAAAGAGGATCCCTGAAGAGAAGATACAAGGACTCCTTGAAACAACATCTCAGCCTTGGTCATATTGATCAACATAACTGGTCTACTCTGGCCTCCAATCGGGAGGTCTGGAGACACACTATCTATAACACTGCTGCTTCCTTTGAGAAGGCACGCAGGATCACTCTCGAGGAGAAAAGACAACGCAGAAAGAATCATGTCTTGCCGATACCACCTAGGGAGTCTTTCTGCTGTGCCTTTTGCAACCGGACTTGTCTATCTTGTATTGGCCTTTTTAGCCACCGGCGCTCTTGTAGCAAGTGTGGGTAGAGCCCTTCCGAAACCTTCATTCGCAAAGCCTAGCCATGATGATCCACCTTCTCATCTCAACCTTCTTCCCAGTCATCATCTGGGATAAATAGATTTTATTTTGCATTCCCAGCAAACCTTTTGGAGCTGTCTCATTTAGAAAGAAAACTGAGTAAATTTGAACTTACATATGTTCAGCATTACTCTTTTTAATCATAGATTCTGTAGGCTAATAAAAAGTAGTAAAGAGAATACAAACAGTTCAGAGGAAAAACAGAACCCTTCTGAAATCACCAGCTGGGAGTTATCCAGACTGAATCAAACTTCGTATAAGGTTGGGGCTGGATTTTGGAAAAACAGTATGAAAATGATTTTCCATATTTTATCAAGTAAATTTTATCACTTCATGGTATTTTTCTTTTAAATGTACTGTATTCAGATATGATACCTGGAACCTTATATTTTTTTCATGTCTTCCAAAAGTACACTTCTTGAGCTTTTCCTTTTATTTCAATGCCCTTTCTCCATTTCAGATCTCCTTAATCCACTGTCCAGACCAGCTTAGAAACTTGTCTCTTTACTGGTTATTATTACTTAGTGAACTTATATTATTTGAAACTAATGTGAGTTTAGCCAGCCTACAATTACTTATTTTTGCTAACTGAAACAACATTTAATGTGATTAATTATAAAAAAATCCTAAGAGCTTCCAAAATAGGAAAGCATCTAGTTTGTTTGGCAAAATTATTTCAAATAACAGCAACTAAAGTTTTGAAAAGGTATGTAGTTCTGTGTTTGAGGCACTGAAAGCAAACATGGCAAACACCCGACAATTGTGAAGGAAAGGCACTGAGAGCAGGAGTTTGGGAGCTGTGGTTTTCAACTTCAGAGGAATCATGTAAATCCTTCACGGCAGCTCCTCAGATAAAGGGAAAACAGCATTCTCTGAAGGGTGGCCAGCTGTTTAGGACTCAATAATCAGGTTTTTATTCAGTCAGCCTTCTGGAGTTGCTTCTATCACAGATAGTGATGCTGGCAAGCAAAATAAAGAGTTTTTATGTCATAGGATGCATTCTTGTAATAATGGATATTCCTTTCTGTATGTAGGAGCTAAACTCTTACTGATTGCTTCTAAATGTAGCTTTTTCACTTCTACACCATGCAGTACTGTGCTGTGAGAAACCCCAGAGTGGCACTGCTTTGTGTCCCACTTGGGCAGAGCCCTGTCAGCAGAAAGAGCAAATTGCTCTCACTTCCAGTTCTCTGGGGCCTTGGGGGAAGGGAGGCAATCAGCGTTTCTGAGAATCATGTTACTTGAATTTAAAGATCTGAATACCAACCTAGCTCCACATGCTATGACTTGAATGTTTGTATTTACAGTATATTTGTTTCTCTCCTAAATCTTATGCTAACTAGATGTGCAGTAATAAATAATTTGGGATATATTTATGGGTTTCATTCTCTTTTTCCAGCATTGTACTGCCTGTTCAGATGAAACAATGATTAAAAAAAAATTAAATCAGTTACTTAGATTGTCTACACTTCTTGTATCTTCACTTTTCTTCTTTTTTCTTTTTTTTTTTTTAAATAAGCTGATTTAAGTTTCCTACATTTTTATCTTTAAACAAAATAAGGGAGAAAATGTTATTGAAAAAGGTTTTGTATATTATTCCCTCACAATAAGATCCAGTATTCTGGTTTCCCTCTTCATTTACACTGAACTTTTAGTCTACAAATATCAGATGGTTTAACAGCATTTTTGGTCTTTTATTCCCATGTCCATTGTTTCAGTTTAATGCTTCTGAGGTAGAAGTCCTTTATGTTGTAATGCAGAATACAAATATTTTGCTATTCAATCAGTTTTCAGTTCTGATGGTAAAAGTTATACAAGTTTTAGCACTTCTACCAGCCAACATGATCCCTTGTTCTCAGATATGTTAGGTTTATTCTATCCTTCCATCACTGAGAAAACTTATTTCTATTTTATTTTAACCCTCTACTCATTTTTGATGAAAATCAGTATCATATTATTGTCCTCTCTCGTATTTAACAAGCGAACAATGAACAATATTTATCACTTGGCAGAGTCAAAAAAATTTCAACAGATTCTTACCTGTAATTCTGTTTTTCATTTCCTATGTGAAATCTGTCATACTGTGAGTATGCCCGGTTTCCTTCCCAGTCCATTAATTCAATTCTTAGAGAATATTGCCTCTGACTTGTTATTGCAAAGATAAATTCATTTCCCAGCCAATGTTCACCTGATGGGCTACCAAAACCCTAGAAAAAAAGTTGGCAAAATAACTAGATGTAATTATTGTAATTGGTAGAACCTTTATACAATAGTAAAACCACCAGTATGTTTTACCTACATATTCTAATTACCAGTCATAGCTTTCTGTGCTCCAGTTAGACTGTCTCTAAAATGACTCTACCAATATGTAAGATGTAGGAATGTCATGCAGTTTAACTGATATTTGGGAGGCCAGTTGAGGTTATCAGTTGAAAATAATTTTCCAGTTACATGATATTAATAGTATGATGCTGTATTTGCACATCCTTCCGTGTGAATATTAGACATAGTTATATTCTATAATACATTTCATATGGTATCAAACCTAGTTATCATTAAGACAATTAAATCAAAACAGATTTCTATACATTATAAAAGATTAAAAAGAGTTTACATTAGCATAGGTTATACACCAAATTCAATCTAGCTGTGGGTGATAGCTCATGTCTTAATCTTCCCTCTTAACAGAGGGAAGTTTGTAGTTTAAAATTCCCTTCTGTATATAAGACCTGCTGGACAGGTCAGTGCCTGTTCCTATACACTATCCTAAAGCACAGGAGAGGGTACTGTAACTCTATTTTCTAAAAATGAAAAATAAACAGCAACAAAATATTTAAGGTACTTAACTCTCTTCACATTTCATATATTCAGATGACCTTATTTCCAGTTAGGCAAACTATATAATTTTCAAACATGGAAAAATAATAATGAAAGAAAAAGTATAATCAATTTGCAATACGTATTCCTAGACCTATATTTTTGTGCATTTTCCAGGTTTTAAGTTGTTTAAATTGCAGTGAATATTTTACTACATTAAGATTAAAGATTTGTTTAATATTATTAATTTATTTACTATACTTGTGAAGAACTCGTCCAACATGACTGTTCTTATTCATATTTCTTAAGATAGGAAAAATGGAACGAGAAATCTTCTGATTTGCTTACAATGATATTCTAGGAGTGTTTTAGAAGACCTTGTGGAAATTTCCTGATCAATTTAAATGAAAGATTGGATTATTTCCAGAAAGTACATATTTTTAAAAGGGTTAAAATAAAGAGATTTCCTTGGGACTAAAGGTTAGACAAGGAGAAATGTGGCTGTGAGACACATTGGCAAGACATTGGTCTTCTCTATATACTGTTTCAGTCACTCCTAACGTGGGATGAAAGCACTGAAAGTAGAATCCTCTCTCTCTTTTTTTCATAATTGTATTGCTCTGGCTCCAGACCTGATTAGTTGGGTCCATTGAGGATGAAATCCTGACTCCCCAGAGGCCATGTGGTAGCACAGTTAATACTCAGGCAATGCATAGGTATATTAGCTTCAAACTTCTAAAGAAATTTAATTTAAAAAATTTAGAAGCTTAGAAGTTTGATTGGACCAAAAAATAAAAAATGGAGGGATTTTTGTTATGGTTGTTGTTCCTCCAGGAAATTGTATTAGAAAGTACTTTACTCAGGAGTCATTTTTGTTTTCACTGCCCTACCTAAGCTAATAACAATATTTGGTGACTCACTGACACTAGAGGCTGAGAAGACATGCTACGCTGAGTACATTAGTTTACGTTTTGAATAAGCATCTCTGCTTTTTGGCTGAAAGACCATCAAGTGATACCTATGGTGAAAGTGTTTAATCTGAAAGAATTGAAATTCAGTAATCTGTGGCAAGTCTCAGAGAAGTCTCAAACTGAAATATGGGAGGATACTATTAGTTGGCTTTTGCCTTTATGTTATTTCATTATATCCCCTTTCTCAAGAAGATTATTTCCTACACAAGTATCTGTAAATACTGGCTGTAGCTAATACTGGTGATATCTTGCTTTGAACACATCCATCTTCCAGTGTGAGCTCCTGCTCCTCAAGCTTTCCAATTACTCACCTACTGCTTTGATGGCAGTCACAATCATATTTGGCTTCACACATTGTTCTTAAAATACAAGAGCTGATTCCTCACCTGTATAAACTCTGTCTACAGCTGACATACCCTTTTATAGTTATCACTGTTTTCTGTCTGTTCCTTTGATTCTTTCCATCTTTTTGCCTTGTCTCTCTACCCTGTGACGGTCACACATGGTGTCTCCTGTTATAGCATCTTTGGCAGTGTCATACCACAGCACTCATTGGTCTGTCTCTGACATCTTCTGTTACCACTGGTCACTGCCACTTGTTTCAGAGGAAGGTAAAATATGCTCTGCATTGACTACCTAATGGGAAGTTTGTTTCTCTAAAATGCAGAATGTAGAAGTGGAACACAGTTGTTCCTATATCAGTCAAAGTAGGTTTCTTTGCAGTCTACATGGGTTTTATTCACAAAAGATATATAATTATCATCATCATCATCATCTGTATTTCTTTAAAGGAAGATTTTCAGGAAATTATCTCTCTCTTTTTCCCAGTGCTGGAAAGCAGAAGAGACTACCCTTTGAACCGTGGCTTTGTCGAATTATATATGTCTTGTCTTATTTGGATTACAGCCTATTCAGAATGTAATACATGTGGCTTTTTTAACATTATGTGTTCCCATATGTATTCTATAGAAACTCCAGACACCACATATAATTATTCTGAAATAACAATTTTTATTCTTCGCATTTACACTTCTCCCTTTTCACACCTGTTATTACACTAAGATGAAAATCTATCACTAGGTGGCTTGCTCTCCTGACCTGAGGAAATGAAGCTTCAGCAATAAGGAACAGAAGGAATATACAAAGGAATATTAAAAATTCTGAGGAAAGCCATCACATTAGTTATGAAAGAATGAATCTTACTATAAGGGGCTACAATACTGAAACTCAGATTGGAAATGCAACCAAGGAAGTAAGTGGGATATAAAACATAGCTCTGAAGAAAGCAATGTTCCTAAGGAGAAGTAATGTACTTTATTAAACACCTAATATGGCTGGAAATAAATAAACAAACAAACAGGAACTCAAATCTTTCATATATCTAAACCAGAGAGAAGTAATGCATTTCTGTAAGCACAGAGCTGGCAACAATTTCTTCAGGTATAATTTTATTATGCCAAACTCAACTGTTTCCAACCTCTATTTAGTCTGCAGTTTACTGCCTATATTTCAGAGCTGAAGAAAGACTTGCATGAATGCTGGTTTTTTCCAGATACTTTGGCTGACTTAATAACAACAGAGCTCTCCTTTTTTATATCTTACTTAGATTGCCTCTACTACAAGAACACTAGTACTTTGATGAGATATGTAAGCTTTTGTTTGCAGAACAGAATGATGAAATATTAGCCAATTCCCCCCCAAATTTTGCATTTCCATTTCCAACACAGAGGGTGCCAAAGAAAGTGGTTGTGCTTGGTTCTTCTGATTTACCTTCAAGATCTTTAGCTTTCAAAGTACATTTTAGAATTTTATCTCCAAATACAAAATATTTTTTTTCTTTTCTCAGCCAGAAAACTTTTTTGTGCAATACTTTTTGAACACTTTTGAGGTTGGGTTAAAAATCACACAAACTTGAAGTTCAACAAGGTTTCAGGAGAACTGGTGTCTGTGATGAGAGAAAGGCTGAAGCAGAAGCTCAGCAGTTGCCTATTCCAATTGCCTATAAGGACATGCAGAACAGCTGGCCAAGTGCAGATGCTGAGTATGTATTGCCTCAGAGGATCCTTAGACATCTGGGAGAGATTTCGGGGACATAAAAGGGGAACTTAAGCTTCTGCCACAGAGAATCTTAGAAAATAATAGGGATTCAGGAGACTATTAGTAATAAGAATGAGAGTTCCATGTGGGACACAGGACAAAAATCCACAGAAAAGCAGACATCATTAATTCTGCTGTTCATGAGAGAATTCAGTAATCGTTTATTAATTAAAATTCAGTAATGAAATCCAAGCATTTTAGTTTATACTATGCCATTTAAGTTTATACTTCTACTCAAATTTGTGGGGCCCCAAGTGATAAGATGCCCACAGCCTTGCCTAAGACCATGCTTGTCATCTTCTTTGAACGAGAAGTTTGGTTTTGAGAATGCCTTATGTCACAGAGTTAGATCTTAAAATTTAACATCAGAAGTCACCTATTGCAGATCCACAGCTGTAATTAAATGTGTTTATTTCCCAGTACATATATGAGTGTCAACACACTCATTGGTTTTTGCATTCATATAATTATAGTAAATACTTCCAAAATTATTTGTGTTAAAGTTTTGTGCCTAAACTTAAGGAAGTACATGAGGTGATCCAAGTTAACCTCAGCTATCAATCCACTAGGAAAAGGAACATCTGTATTTCATGAATGTGTTTGCTATTAACTATATTTTAAGTCCCTCTGAAACCCAGTGGGTTGTAAGCACAGTTCCAAAATTGTATTTCAAATTACTAAGAGACACTATTTTGTCATTATCTTTCTATATTTTGTTCGTTATATGTTTCCAAATAGAGAGATTAATTCTTTAAACTTTAGATTTTTTTCCAAAAATACTCAATTTTGCTTTTCCCTAGAAGTTTGCATAATATTTTTGGATGATTGGAAAATCAGAGGCTTTAAGTTCCCAAAAGAGTGTTTAATGTAATAGGGAAAGGTCAGAAATTTCCAGAAGTTCTCAGAATTCTCCTTCATTTTCCTCACTGGCACTCTATGGAAGCTAGGACAATATAGCAGGGAAATATGCTTGCATTATAATAATATGCTGTCTTAACTGTCCACTACTAGTCACAAATAGAATACACAAATATTTGCGCTGACCTAACATGATTATAATGTTTCATATTATTCTTCATAAACAGAAAACATTTATATTTTTCCTGCTGAAAATAGCATTAGGATCATATTTTGGCAAATGTTGATCTGAAACGAGATACAAAAACCACCAACAATTAGTAATTTTTTTTTCCCCAGGCTTTTTCATTGAGGAATAATAAGGTGATGTTTTGTACTATATTTAGAGTAGGTTGTTCTTGTAGATGTCATAACATTTATTTTCAGAGAAAAAAACCCCATAATATAGAACCTTACTGACAATT